TGCTGGCCCGGTGGCGCACTGGAGAGTATGTCACACATGCACCCTAGATGAGGAAAATACTCAAAGCTCTCTAAACAATTGATAATTATATCAGAAAAGAGATCTCAGTATTGGGTAGATGCTGAGCACAGTACTTAACTTGTGAACAATTAGTTGTAGTAAATATAGTTATATCTAAATGGATAGTTTATTCATTCAGCAAACATTTTGAGTGCCAGCCTCAGTCCTTAGCATTGCAGACACAACAGAACAAAACTGCAGGTTTCAATCACTGTACTGACCACACACACACGAATAAACACCATTTCTCGGAGCTGACATTATGGTTATGATACCACTGAGATAAGATATATAGTTTAAATGTTCAGGAAAGAGTCTGCAAATAGAAGGTATACTTAAGAGGAGCTGGCATGGGGTCAATAGGAAAGTTAGGAAATAAAATCTCAATTTCTAAAATTGTCATCTAGCTGAAGGGGTAGGGGAGTAAGCAGGTGAAATGTTTTGGGAAACGTTTATTGAATAATTTTGCAATATTACTAGAAAAATACAGATTTCATCATAAATGCTAGATATGGCAAGGGAAACACCAGCCTTATAGAGACAAACAACAAAACTTCTAAATCAGCAGGAGCAGAGCTGCTGGTTAGCTCAATTGGTTAGAGCACAGCCTTATAACACCAAGGTCACAGATTCAGATCCCTATACTGGCCAGTCCTCCCAAGACAGATAAACAAAAAAAAAAAACCCCAAGTCAACAGGAGGGTAAAAAAAACCCCACACTTTTCCAAGCCAATATAAAGAAAAAGTATCAACAAGGCAAGATATAAAATAATCATAAATTAATGGATACAAGTTCATTGTGTTTTATCCAGTTTAATAATAATTGCAAAAGAGCTCAACTCTATTTTTAAAAAAAGGTAAGCAGATTGGGTTTTTAAAAATCCATCTATTAATTATTTACATTTAAAAGGGTTAAAGAAGAATTGAAAATAAAGGGATGTGTAGAGGTAGCTATGGATCTTACAAAGAAAAACAAAAAACGCAGGCATGGGATACTGTGATCAGATAAAGTTGAAATCAAGGCCAGATACATTAAAAAGTGTGAAAAGACGGGCCGGCTCAGTGGCACACTTGGTAGAGTGCGGCACTTGGGAGTGTGGCGGCGCTCCCGCCGAGGGTTGGGATCCCATATGGAGACCGGTCCGCTCACTGGCTGAGCGCGGTGAGGGCGTGACACCGAGGGTTGCGATCCCGTTGCTGGTCACGAAAAAAGACAAAAAGGAAAAAAAAAAGTGCAAAAAGACTATTTAATAAAAAGACATAACATTATTACACATGTGTATATAATGTAAAATACATTTTCCATTCTTGTAATTAAAATTCATAATTATTCATAGTCTGTGAAGACAACATAGGAATCATAGATATTTATGCACTAAACATGGCCAAACACAAATAATATTCATTTTCAGACTTTAACAAGTTAGGCAAAATAACAGCAAATCATAGAAGAATTTAATAATATAGTTTATAAGCTTCCTTTAATACAAAGAGAACTTTCTAGTCTACAGAGAATATATACCCTTTATGTCTGCAGAAATCAATTATGTAACTGGCCATAAAGAAAATGATAACACTAAAAAAATTTTTAAATCCACAAGCTTTGGGGCCGGCCCAGTGGCGCACTGTAGTAGTGCGCCGCTTGGGAGCGTGGTGGCGCTCTCGCCGAGGGTTCGGATCCCACATACAGACCGGTTCCCGCTCACTGGCTGAGTGAGGTGCGGGTGCGACACGGAGGGTTGCGATTCCGTTGCCGGTCCTGGTCTGGTACGGGCGCGACACAGAGGGTTGCAATCCATTGCCGGACACGAAAAAAGACAAAAGGGAAAAAAAAAAAAAAATCCACAAGCTTTAACTATAGCACAATGAAATTAGAAATCAACCACACACAATTTTTTTTAATTTGCTTAGAAATTAAGAAACAATCTAACACTCAGATCAAAAAGGAAATCAAAATTACTAAGACCAATGAGTGAATTTAGCAAGGCCTGTAGATACAAGGTCAATATACAAAAAAAACCATCAAGTTCTTTTTTTTAACCAATTGATTTCTATATACGAGCAACAAACAATTGAAAAATGAAATTTAAAAATACCGTTTATAGTAGTAAAATATCAAATATTTAGGAATAAATTTAACAAAAGATGTATTACATTTAGTACAAAACATTACTGACAGACATTAAATGATCCATAAAGGGAGAGATTTAATATATCTATAGATTGGAAAACTCAATATTGTTATGTCAATCTTCTCCATGTTGCTCTGCAGATTCAATGCAACTTCAGCCTAAAATCCCAACAGGCTTTTATTTTTAGGAGTGTACAAAAGTATCATAGCAGCCTTATTAAAATAGCCAAACTCTGGAAACACTCTAAATATCCTTCACCCATATGAGGGTGCTTCAAAAAGTTCATGGAAAGATTTGTATTATCTTTCAATTCTATTTTTCCATGAACTTTTTCAAGTACCCTTGTAGAAAGAGTAAATAAAAATGTGTTATATTCATATAATGGAATACTGCATAGCACCGAAAATGAACAAACCATGGATACATGCTGCAACAACATGGATGAATCTCACAGACATACTGAGTAAACAGTCATACACAAGAGTACATACTGTATGATGCATTTGTATGAAGTTCAAAATCAGCCAAAACTATTTCATGGTGATGACATAAGACTAGTGGTTATCCTTGGGGAGGACTGACTGGGAAGGAGGACAAAGGACCCTTCCGAGATGCTGGAAATGTTCTATATCTTGATCCGGGTGGTAGTTACAGAGGTGTGCATATATGCAAAAACACCTCAGTGTATGTACTGCTTAGCTCAATTTAAAAGTGAAAAACATGAATTAGGCTTTATTTTAAAGGTATTATACCATTAAATTGGCTTGAAGTGGAAAGAATGATTGAATAAAGTTATTGCAAACCCAAAACTCAAGATTTAAAAAGCATGTGCCTGACTTTATGAATGAAGTTGAGTGAAGCTGACTTGATTCAATCAAGGAGTTGGGAAATCAAGGAGTAACTAGAATAAGATGAAAAATACTACTTGGTTTAAGTCTCAGGAGAGTAGTAGTGAAAGAATGAAAATTAAAGGAATGACTATTAAATTGGAGGGAGTAAGGGATTTTCTTAGGAGTATGGTTGAAAGTATAGCATATCATTGTAGGCTTTGTAAAAATTAACAGCTGATTCTATACTTTACCTGGAAATGCACATGACTTAGAAGGGCCAAGACGGGCCGGCCCGTGGCTCACTCAGGAGAGTGCGGAGCTGATAACACCAAGGCCACGGGTTCGGATCCCATATAGGGATGGCCGGTTGGCTCACTAACTGAGCGTGGTGTTGACAACACTAAGCCAAGGGTTGAGGTCCCCTTACCGGTCATCTTTTAAAAAAAAAAAAAAAGGAAGGGCCAAGACAATCTTGAAGAAGAACAAAGCTGGAGAATTTTATCTGACTTCAGAAATAAGGAATTAAACTAAGTAGTTAACGCTGACTGGTATTGGTGTAAGGATAGGTAAACAGATCAATGGAACTGAATAGAGGGTTGAGACACAGACTCACATGTAACGGATCACTTGATTTTTGTCAAAGGTGACAATGTGGTTCAGTGGGGAAAAGGAGTATCTTTTCAATAAATGGAGATGGAGCAGCTGGTTATTTATATGGGGAAAAAATGAACCTGGCCTCTACCTTATACCATATGCAAAAAATATTTTGAGGGCCAGCCCATGGCTCACTTGGGAGAGTGTGGTGCTGATAACACCAAGGCCACGGGTTTGGATCCCTATATAGGGATGGCTGGTTAGCTCACTGGCTGAGTGTGGTGCTGACAACACCAAGCCAAGGGTTAAGATCCCCTTACCCGTCATCTTTTAAAAAATATATATATATATTTTGAGATGGATAATAGTCATAAGTATGAAAGCTAAAACTAAAATTTCTGCTCACTGGCTGAGCGCGGTGCGGGTGCAACACCGAGCGTTGCGATCCCGTTGCCGGTCCCCGGTACGGGCGTGACACCGAGGGTTGTGATCCCGTTACCGGTCAGTAAAAAAGACAAAAAGGAAAAAAAAATTTCTGGAAGGAAACTATAGAAGAAAATCTTCATCCCATTCCAGCAGGTATAGCTACCAAAAAAACAAAAGCGAAAACAAAAATTTTATGACCTCTGGGGTAGGCAAAGATTTTTTTCAACATGATATAAAAAACACTAAGCATAAAATAAATCACAAATTAAACTTCATCAAAATAAAAATTTCCTGGGCCAAGCCCGTGGCGCACTCGGGAGAGTGTGGTGCTGCTGACACCAAGGCCACGGGTTCGGATCCTATATAGGGATGGCTGGTGTGCTCACTGGCTGAGCGCGGTGTGGCCGATCTCACAAAAAGACAAAAATAAATAAAATAAAATAAAAATAAAAATTTCCACTCATCAAAAGACAGTAATTAAAAAGGAAAGCCACCACTGGGAGAATATGTTCTCACTACATATATATGCCAAAGAACTCATTTCTAGATAAAAGGAACTCCCATACTTTAAATAACCCAATTTATAAAATGCAGTAACTCTCAGAGGAGTGCTTGTGAACAGGCACCTCACAAAAGAAGATATCCAAATGGTCAGTATGCACATGAAAAGGTGCTCAACATCACTACACGACAAAGAAATGCAAAATAATACCACAAAGAGATATCAGTGCACACCCACCAGAAAGGCTAAATTTAAAAAGACTGACAATACCTAGTGTAGTAAGGGTGTGGAGAAACTGTAACTCTCATATGTTGCTGGTGGAGTACAAAATGTTATGGCCACGTTGGAAAACTGTTTAGTAGTTCTTATAAAAGCACAGTGCTAACCTATTACCCAGAAAATCCACTCCTATGTACACAGAACAGAAATTAGTCCACAAAAACTTGCACACAAATGTTAATGTAAATAGCGCTTTATTCAAAATTGCCACAAATTGGAAACAACTGAAATATCCATCAACAGGAGAATAAACTTTGATATATTCATAAATCAAATATTACACAGCAAGAAAAAATGGATGCACGTAACGTGGGTGATTCTCAAAAACATGTCCAGTGATAGATGTGGACATAACAGAGTACTTGCTGTTTTTACATGACATTCAAGAACAGGCAAAACTAACCTAGGGTGGGGGCCGGCCCGCTTGGGAAGTGCGGCGGCGCTCCCGCCCGAGGGTTCGGATCCCACATACAGACCGGTTCCCACTCACTGGCTGAGCGAGGCACAGGAGCAGCACCGAGGGTTGCGATCCCGTTGCCGGTCCCTGGTCCGGTGCAGGGGCAACACTGAGGGTTGCGATCCGTTGCCGGACACAGAAAAAGAAAGACAAAAAAAAAAAAACTGAATTTGCGTGTGATGCCGTTGTGTGGCACGCCTTTCCCTGCCACGTGTGCAGGCTTGTGTTCAGAACCAGCACTCTCCTTGTAACTCCTTATTGACTTCTGCTTTGGCTGTCCCTGCCTTTT